GAAGGAACTGTACTCAACTGGACTGTTTCATTGTTGTTCTTGGGCTAGGCCCGACAGATTCTTGGTCTGTGATTTTTTAAAAAGTTTCTGGGAATCTTGTTTTTTGTGAAGGAAGAAGTTCCTACTGCTAAGAGTGCTCATAACATGTTTTTTTAACTCATATAAAAGCTGTACAGCTTTATGACTATGCAGACAAGATTATTTTTAACAGCAAGGGCTGCCTATTCATGAAAAAATTTGGAGTAACCCAGAGACTAGTTCCTAACAACCCTCTGATTGCTGTGTCTTTGACTCTTCATCTGTTCTAATAACTACTTTCCTTCTCACATTTACATGATGTTTTAAATTACATTATGGTTAACAAGATCATATGGAATTTGGTAATCAACAACTTCATACTTTATTAGATTTTGCCTTCATTAGATTAATACAAAGAATAATTAATTGTTGATTAAATGGGAAAGTAGAGTAACCCTACTGATCACAAAGGTTAGCTAGCAGAATATTTATAAGCAATTATTATTTACAACAATAAGATAAGAAGTTCCTATTAGTAAGCATCAGTAGAAGTGGAGAGAAAGTTTTTTGAAAAATTGAAATGCTTACCTAAACTTAGATTTAGAAATCCGGTGCCTGAAAGGGAAAACAAATTATTTTAGTGTATCATAAATACATGCTGTAACTTTTTAACTTCAACATAATTAAAAAAAAGAATGAGCTATAGAGCTATTAAAAATTAGCATTGCTAATATTTGGCCTAACACCTAAATATTTCAGTGTAACTAATTTCTGCTTATGCATCATATTTAAAAGGGTGTCTGCTGGGGGAGGGGGGAAGTTATACTGTATGTTATGATGTCATCACACAAGGGGGGAAGTTATGTGTGTTATGATGTCATCACACAAATTACATTAATTCACATCATTAGGCATGTGACATCGTCATGGTTTTCGTTGGACACCTATGTATATTAACAACATTCAGCCATGTCAGACTGTTAATATACATAGTGTGAAGCTCTTTTCTTGCAAGGCAAATACCGATCCTCTAGATTTGGAAGCTACACATGACCAGCTGGTAGCAAAGAAACAGGCAGAATCGGCAACTATGTGAGCCACTGTTATAGAACAAATATGATGAGCAACCAAGCTAAAAGTGGTCTTGAACTGTCTTTAAAAATACTATAATATAAGCACTATGGCAAATCTGGCAAGCTCCCAGAAACAAGTTAACTGAATTCCAAGCCACTTACTGTCCCTATGTGGGTTAGTTTTTAAAGAAAAATATCTATGTTTGCTAGATTTTGAACATGATTTAATATACTGAAATTTTGGAGAATGGAATCTGATGATTCGGAAAAAGAGAGGGTAATGTTGGTATGTTATTTGATCACCAAATGTTCAGATGGAGAAAAGAACATTAAGTCACAAATAGGGAGAAGAAATATGTCTTTAGTAGTTAATTTAAAAAAAAAAGTCAGATATCATGAAAAACAAAGTGTTCAGATATCATGAAAAACAAAGTGTTCAGATATCATGAAAAACAAAGTGTTCAGATATCATGAAAAACAAAGTGTTTTAAAAAAAAAAGTCAGATATCATGAAAAACAAAGTGTTTGTTTTAAAAAATCAAACCAGAAGCAAGTTCCCATTATTGCCTATTGTCTTTTGATGTGAAACTTTCAAAATTCATTATAGTAGCTTTACAGACCATTCACTAATTGATTATATACCATCAAGTTGGTGTCAACTTTTAGTGACCACATAATTTTTTTCCAAGATGATCTGTCTCCAGTCTGGTCCTCCAGGTCTTTCAGTGATACACCTATCACTGCTATAATTGAGTCCATCCACCTTGCTGCTGATTGTCCTCTTCCCTTTCCTTCCATCTTCCCAACACTATTGATCTCTAGAGAGCTAGATCTTTGCATAATGTGTCTAAAATATGATAATTTGAGTCTGCTCATTTGTGCCTTGAGTGAGAACTCTGGGTTGATTTGTTTGAAGATCCATTTGTTT